AGGACACCATGTTCCAGATACCCTTTCAAACTTGATCACTTAAATCATAAAGGCTACGAATAAAAGTTTCACAATGTAACGATATTTTTTTCTCTTTTTTATGCAATGATTAGTATAATGTCCTTTATTAAATACATATTTTCAAAAATCAACCTCTAATTTAAGATTTTCACATAACTTTCATCTTATTGACTTTAAACAATCCACACAAATTTTAGCACACATAGATACATATATATCTCAATGTCTCCCTACAGTAGTTCATTCACCCTCAAACTATCATAAAATTGGTTTAATGATGTATAATTTAGTGGTTATTTGGATTTAACATCTAAGGTTCACTAATTAATTTTTTTAACATATTCAAATTTTGAATTAAACTATTTTTTCATGGTGCAAAATATAAATCTTGTGCACAAAATATCAAGTTTCACATGAACAAGCATAAATCAATCCTAACATGCAATTTTTTCACAAATTATAATCTAATACATAGTTCCAAATATATGCATTATTGTAGATAAATTCGTCTATTCCATAAAAGCACACAAAAATAAAAATAAATCTGAAAATAATTCTTTTTTTGAATTTTTGGATTTTTTTTTGTATGTGAACAACACACAAAATAGTAAAAACTCAATTTTTTTTCATCCCCAAACTTATAACAGACATTGCCCTCAATGTCTAAAAATATAACAAGTAATATATAAAAATTAATGATAAAGAAGGGAACTAAGTACTCCTCTACCATATATTTAAAGGTGGTGGATCGACGAGTATGAAAGTTCTAGCTCACTTACCATTTTTTTTTCTTATCCAGTATGTTCAAGTGTCATGTTCTTTCAAAATAATAGAAATCAATCATAAAATGGAATAATTTATAGTAAGCTCATACACACTCTAAAGGAAAATATGAGAATGAAGATACCTATACTACTAAAATGAATAAAAACTACTAATCCTATATTCTAAAAAGTAAAACAAATAAAAGGGAAGAAAATTTTGTTGTTTCTCAATGAGTGCTTATTTATAGTCTTTAGCTCGACTTCGTTGTTTTGGCTATTTATAGTGGTTTAAAAAGAGAGTTTTCAGCCTTGTATCGGCTGCACTGACAGTTATTTCTTAAGTCATTTTTAAACCTCCAAATTATAAGATTTCCATTGTACACCCGCCCAACAATTCCACATTTCCCCTTCATGTTCTTGTTAATTCCACAATCGATCTTTTAGCATTTCTCAATGTCAAGTGGTTGTTTGAGTGAAGCATTCATTGTTAAGCTTGGTTATTTTCCTTCCACACTCTGAAGAATAACTCACTTTTTTTAAAATCCATTAATGCTCATGCAGTTACTAGGAATGATCTCTCCAAAATTAACGGCACCTGTTGAGCATTTATATTAAAGATGATGAAATCAGTAGGAAATAAATTATCTCCAACTTTGATGAGCATATTTTCTACCGCTCCATAAGGATGCTTGAGTGTCCTATCAGCTAGCTGTAGGATTATTGACGTTGCTTTTGGATTATCCATTCCTAATTTTTCGTAGTTAGATAGTGGCGTCAAATTAATACTTACTCCAAAATTAATTAAGGCATTTAAATTATGTGAATGTTCTATAGAGTAAGGTACAATGAAACTCCCTGGATCTTTTAGTTAAAAGGGAGCATCTGCTTAATGATTGCAATGCACTTTTCTGTCAGAGTTACCGTTTCATCTATTGACAACTTTATCTTCTTGGTCAACATCTCCTTAAAAAATTTAGCATAATTTGGAATTTCTAGAATTGCTTCAATGAAAGTAATGTTGATGTGAAGTTGTCCAAGTGCATCCAAGAACTTTTTAAATTGCTTTTCTAAGTTATTGTTCTGCAATCTTTGAGGGAATGCGACTGGAGGTGTGTGATTATTGACATGAACAGTTGCCTTAACTTGTGGATCGTCTGACTTTTTTTCTTGTGTAAGAGATTGAACCACTTGTTCCTCGTTGGGTACTTGATTCTCCTCAATCCCTTTCTTCTTTATAGTGATTCTGGTAGCTGAATTTCACTTCTCGTTGTGATGGCTTGGACTAGGCTATTTTCGAAGCCTTTAAGGAAATGGAACGGAAGACACATAAGCTCGAACAGTGGTAGCATTATTGTATGATGGTGTCCCAATAATTGCATGATTCACAGTTTCAGTTGTTAATACATGTTATCTTGAGTTCTGTTGGCTAATACAGATGCTATTTGCCCCCATCGAGCCAAAAAAGGAGCCTAAGCCGTTTGCCAAGCAGTAAGATGATAGATATTCAAGCACTTCAACTAAAGTGGGTCTTTGTTCATTAGTTAGAGCCCGTTTGACATGATTTTTGAAAAGTTAAAAGGGAGGTTTCGAGACTCAAAAATTGATTTGGACTTCTTAGGCTAATTTTATGAAAATGCTTCTTATAATTAAAATAACTTTTAGAGGAAACTGATACAATGTGACTTCCTTTAAAAGTACTTTTGAAATATAAAGTTTTTTTTATTGATACAATATGATTTCCTTTAAAAATACTTTTGGAATAAAAAATTCTTTTAAAAATTAATTTTCAAAGAAAAATCAATATAACTTTCTCCAAAATTTCGTTTACAAGAAACAAGAGAAACACGTTTGGCATGGGTAGAGATGTCAATCGAGTCGAGCGGCTCGTACTGTTCATGCCCACGAGCCGCTCGGGTTCCTCATAAGACGAGCCCGAACTCGAGCCGAGCGGACTGGTGTGTAGACGAGCTGAGTTTGGCTTGGCTCGTTAAGAGGCGAGTGCTCGTAGAAACGAGAAAAAACATTTAAAAAATAAAAAAAAAAAACTAGGATTTTTTTTTTTGACGAGCCACGAGCCGAGCCGGCTCGTGAGCTCGGGAACTCGTGGGCCGAGCCGAGCTCGTCCACGAGCAAACGAGCGGCTCGGCTCGTGAGCTCGTTTCTCCACGAGCCCGAGCCGAGCTCGTGGATTAAAGGGCCAGCTCGGCCGGCCCATTGACAACACTAAATGGGTCCTTAATAGTTAAAAGTATAGATAACAGTAGTAGGAAGAATGACTGTAGAAGACGAACATCTACACTGTACGTAATACAGATAGGGAAAAAATCATATTTAAGGTGTTTTCTTTACCTCAATTCAAAAATAAGGTAAATAGTTTAAAAATTCAAAAACCAGGTATGAATTTAATTAATTAAAAATATTTATTAAATAAAGATAATAAAGTCACAATTTGTCATTAATGGTCACATATTTATAATTATGAGTTACAGATTTATTTACTAGTCACATATCTTTAAATTTTTTGATCTTAAATTATTTCAAGGTCACATATCAGATTATTTCGAGGCCACAGATTATTTCGTGGTTACACGCTTTTAAATTAGTTGATCACAGATTATATTTTAGTCACGTATTATTAAAATTTTAGGTTACAGTTGAGTAATTTGTCAAAGATATTACCAAACATTTGGTTACAGATTACCAAACATTTGATCACATACTACCGCCGCTTGGTCACAGGTCACAGATCGACCAACACAAACTAACCAGCCATAGGACGAAAATTGAACCCCAATAACAACAGATCTGCCACCACCAACAGCCAACCACCAACAATAGATCCGCCACCAACGACCGCAAACATAAACAGCAAACCACCAATCCGCCACCCCACAGATTCGCTAACAGCAAACGACGGCCAATCCGCCACACCTACGACGTTGAAGCAACACACTCGCACACCCCAATAGCGTCGCATAACACACCCACTACTACGACCTCACAAAATCACAACAACAAAAAATCACCACCACAAACCACCACACCTACAGCAACATCGCACAGCAGCGTCACGATGTTGCCGTGGGGTCGTAGCAGCCACAAACTACTACACCCACAGTAACGTCGCTGTTGTGAATTGCAGCAGCGTGTCGCTGTTATGAATTGCAACAGAGGGAAGGGGAGGGCAGGGGAGGTGGCAGAGACGAAACGGAAGAGAGGGGAGAGGAAGGGAGGGGAGAGAAAGAAAAGAGGGGAGGGGAGAAGAGGTGGAGGGGGCAAGATGGAAGAGAGAGTGGAGGGGGTAGAGAGTGAAAAATTAGGGTTAAGAATTTTTATATATCACCTGATTTTTGAAGAATGAAATTTGGT